AAAAACTCTCCAACCAACCAAACAAACAAACCTGGATTTCCAGGGATGAACACCACGTTCATTATAGGACGATCAGCATGAATTTCCAGTAACTCAGTTTTGTGACTGGCCAGGAAGAAGGTCATAACAAAATGAATGAAACAATCATTAATATAAAACTCAGAATCAGCAAAAGGGAATCTACAAAACACAGGACACCTTCATACCCGAACAAAGTGCAGAATCGAGGAATCGCAGACCTTTCAGCTATGGATTGAAATTTATCAGAATCCATTCCTTTGCTTATGCACTTTAATCCAGGTTCTCCAGCAATTTTGAACTTAATTTATCATAAAATGACTTTTTGGATTAGCTTAAATGATCAAGAATTTTGAAGAACTCTATGAACCAACTGTCTTCAAATCTAGACAGTAATACAGATAGCTCCATGCTTACGGTGTTAAGGGCCACAGATCAAATTAATGAAACAACCAGTAACATAAAACTCAAAACTAGTGAAAAAAGTACCAAAACGCTAGACACCCTTCAAACCTAAACAGTGACACAATTCTCAGAGGCATCACCCCTGCAAGTGCACCCATAGTCGATTGTCATAAACTATGGTAACATGGATCTCATGTTACTCTAGATGAGTCCTGTGTTTGTGGGTTTACAGACCTACTTGTGTGTATGAGGCTTGAACAGAATATCAAGTGTTTGTGGAAAATTATGATGCTCTGAAACTAATAATTTGAGTTTAAATCCATTGAGATTGATTCAAGTGGTGAAGAGTTAATCAAATCATGCTAAAAATACGAGCTTGAATCCCTCTAATATCGTTTGAGTGTAAACAATTTTAAGTGAAGTTTTGCTTGATTCTTGTAAACAGCGTGACGTGTTTCAAATAATAATGATAATAATAATAACTCGAGTTTAAGTTTTTTTTATCAACTTTTAGTATTCAAAAGTCATATTAAATTTTAATTAAATTCTAATTAATTTAGAGTTTAGTCGCCAACTGGCCTGTGGCCCAATTGGTTGGCCCCCAAGCTTTAGGGCTTGGGTGAGGCAGAAGTTAGGGTTTCGAACTCTGCCACCGCCGTGAATTCCACCAATTTGTGACCTAATAGTCACGCCCCTCATATGAGGGGTGGAACATTCACTATCCTGGAAAAATTCCAGCTGCTAACAAACTAATTCTACTAACTTCCTAACCATTTACTTGGTCAAAAAAAAAAAATTTAGAGTTTAGTCACGTCGATCCCATAATAAGAAAATTTTTTTAAAATTTAATTTTTTATTCATAAAACTTGTACTCAAGTTTTTTTCATTTGGATTAATATATTGTTAGTAGTAAATTTGATAATTTGATGTTAAATTAGTAGCACATTTCGATTTAGGTCGTTTGATAAAGAGTAGTAAATTTAGGTTGATTCATGTTTACATGTCACGGATCATAGTGGATTGAGTAAAATAAAAATATGGCTCACAACCTTGACAAGAGTCCAGGCTGGCCAACCCTTTTTTTTCTTAATCTTTTAACAAAAAATTGATTTTAATTTTAAATTTTTTATTTTGAATTACACAATAAAAAATGACCTACTCTCATATTTTAATTTACTTTTCTTATATATGATACCACTTAAACTTAAAAGTATTATTACTATTAAAATTTAAAAAAACTTATTATTAAGTTAGTAAAGCATTAAATTAATTTTTAAAATTTTTGTTCAATTTCTTAAAAGACTAAAACCCAACTCCAAAAAAATTAATAAATTCACACAACTCAATCCCAAGAACAAGTCAATCCCCAGAACAGAACTCAACTGAGAAAAGGGGAAAAAAATTCATTAAGAATATCAATCAGAAAAGCATGTCTGTCCAGTTTCAAAAAAGGAAAATAAAAAAAAAAAGAAAGGCATGCCTGTCTTTTCCTCATCATGAGGTACCTTAAGTCCAACCATATGTCCACCCATCCCAACAGCTTCGGATCTATCCCATCTGAAAGCATTTATGACTGCTCGACGCAGAAATCACAACCATGCACAAGTTTTCTTTTTTGGTAGAAAACCATGCACAAGTTTTCTAATGTATTGTTGTTTTGCATAAAACTTTAATTAGGAGTATTGGTTGGTGGAGGTTTTAATTTTTTGATATTATTTATATTTTATAAATT